GGTAAATTGAGTACCCAGCTTGCTGGAGGGGGGGGGCGCAATGCGTAGCCTGCAAAATTAACTTGTAAACCAGCCAGAGTGTGCTTGAAACACTATGCGGTATATAAGGAGCACGCTTTGCTTTTTGCTTTAATTCTCATCTCCCACACACAGCATTTTTAAGTCATATGTTTTCTAATTCCCTTCCCAACTAAATCCCGCCTGTTTTACCGGTCTCGGAGGCTTCTCGTTTTGGCTTGAATGATTCCCAGGTCCCACAGGGCTGGTTTCTTCCGAGGGTCACACTGCTTATGCCCGTAAACCTCAATGGCTAAAGCGCCATCGTAAAGGTACTCCATAAAATCTTCTGTAATGTTGACGGAAACCTCCTAGGTAAAAAAAGAAAAAGGTAGAGACGTCAGAGTGTCATCCATCGCTTATCGTTTTTCATGACTTCTGCTGCCTGGAGGAAGGGGCATCGTAAACAGCGCATTCGGGGAAAACCACAGAAGGAAATCTGTCTAGGAAAGAGGATTGCTGAATTAAAAGAAGGCATTGGTAGAGATGGCTGTTAGGATCCTCTCATCTCTTTGACGCAGCGGCCAAAATCCTATTGCGTAGCGTCGGTCCACTGAATCAAGGAGGATTTGTTGGTGAGTCAACTGCTCTGTAAATAGCACTGATGCCAATGGGCCGGTGACTCTAGCGTGACTTACGATGCTAATCAAGAGGACTCCACAATTGCTCAGGACAAATGGCTCAGAATATACCATATTTATAGGATGCTTTAATCAGTGCGATCAATCAACCACCCAAGGGCTACAGATGCACCCTGGTATTACATGGTCTGTGTCCTGGATACCTGAGGGAGCATCTCTCCCTATAAATACCTGCTTGATCACTAAGATCTGGAGGCAGCTAGCCTCTCCCATGTCCCTCCATGGAGAAGGATCCATTATGTGGATTATTGTTCCATTATTGTGGAATGCCCCTCCCTTAGAAGCACGGGAGACACTAATCTTATTTTGATACCAGGTTAAAATATGGCTATTCAGAAAAGACTTTGGGACTTGGCATTCACAGACTATGGGGGCGAAGTTATTTTGCATCTCTGTCATTTCTAATACAGTGGTACCCCGCATGATGTCGAAATCACTTGACGATGACTTTTTTGCGATCGCTATTGCAATCGCAAAATGATGGTTCCAATGGGGGGAATCCGCTTTACGTTGATTAGGAGCCTGCTTTTTTCCGGCTCCGCAAAATGGCTTCCCTCCCTTCTAAAAAAGGCTGCTTTCCAGTTCTGCAAAATGGCTTCCCTTCGCAAAATGGCTTCCCTCCCTCCTCAAAATGGCTGCTTTCCAGACGGAAGGTTTGCATTACAGGGATTTTTAACAGCTGATCGGCGGTTCTCTACGGGCAATCTTCGCTGGATGATGAGGTACTTCCCCCATTGGAACACTTTGACCAGTTTTCAATGCATTCCAATGAGGATTTTTTTCGCTTGACGACGATTTTGCTTAACAGGAATTTTGCTGGAACGCATTATCCTCATCAAGCAAGGCACCAATGTATTTTAATGGTCTTACACTGTTTTATTCTCATACTGTGGCCAGAGGTCTAAATATAAATATAATGGAATATAAATGCCCCAAACAAAACACAAACTTTTGTTTTAAATCCTAAACCAACCCAAGGGGCACAAATATTATGTTGTACATTTGCTCATTTTTTTGGCTTGCTTTTTCAACAGAGTGAATTCACTTTATTGTTCCAGGTGATGTTTGCAACATCGCATTGTTATCTGCGAGCACTTAAACCATCCGTCTCTTCTAAAGTTCTTACTGACATTTCTATCATTGCAATTTATATTAAAACATGCAGGATCAGGCCAGCCACAGGTATGTTGCATTTACCAGGGTGCATACTGAGAAGCATGTTTACATGTCACTTTAAGGCAAGAATCCTGATGTTGAACCGCAACATGAATTCTGTTTTATCGCTTATGTATGTCGGCATAAGTGGGGCAGTGCTTAAACTGCACTACTACAATCAAGACTCTGCCCACAATCTGAGTTCATCCTGGGTTCAGGTAGCTGGCTCAAGGCTAACTCAGCCTTCCACCCTCCCAAGATTGGCGAATTGTGTACCCACTTAAAGACACTTAAAATTGCAAAAACGGACCTGTCAAAAAAATTGTAAACTGCCCAGATAGTGCTTTAAGAGCTGTGGGGCAGTATATAAGCAGCACACTTTGCTTTAAAAGAGCCTTGCGGCAAAGCGATTCAACTGCAGTACTGCAGTTAAGACTCTGCTCACAACCCGAGTTCAATCCCAATAAGCTCAGATGGCTGGCTAGAGGTTGACGCATCCTTTCAAGGTCTGTAAACTGGGCACCCAGCTTGCTGGGGAGTTTGGCGCAATGTGTAGCCTGCATAATTAAATTGTAAACCACCCAGAGAGTGCTTTAAGCCCTATGGGGTGGTGTATAAGCAGCACACTTTGCTTTATAAATGCAATGGCATAAATCACAGTGGCAACTGGCTGCTGACTAAGGAGCCACCATGTGTTGTTCAGGCGGTCATGGGACTCTGTGAGCAACGAGGGATACAAGCGGTGGAATCCACAACTGGCCCCATTTCATTGCCATTGCATTTAACGCAAGTCCATACAAGCAATCTGATTCTGGTCACCATATTTGCTTCTCTGCCACCCAACTACAGGAATCCCAGGTAGCGGAGGAACTGAATGCGGGTGTGTACAGCCCATTCATTCTCATTCCCCCTTTTTCCTTCAAATGAGTGGGTAAACAAATCAAGCAGCCTTGCCTTAATGGGACACACGAAAACCCAAGGATTATTGTTTATTATGGACCCAGAAGCCAAGAATGGCTAACCAGAAAAACAATCCTACTTTTAAGCCTGCTTACAAATCCCACTTTGCACTTGCATGATAAATAAATGAGCCGAGGGTTACTTCAAAAGAAAACGCAAACCACCTTGTTTGACTGATGCAGATCCAAGCCAACGAACTGCAGCCGACTTACTTCCCTTATGTGTGAGCATTTTGCCCTGTGGAAGTGGAGGGTCATTGATGATAAAGCAAAATATCCCTCCGTGAGGGGTCTTGCGTTCCACGGTAAAATATCCCTGCCTGGCTTATTCACAAACCCAAGGGCATGGGCTATACGTTCATGCTTTGGTATCACAAATTAGAATTTTTGGCTTAAAGGATGCATGGATGAGGCCACAGTGAATACAGAACATTTCAGGCAGCAGCAAACCCTCCACGCTCGTTCTCAATCCTGTCTTTAGCAATTCCAGGTGTGTACATTTGCGATTTTGGAATTTAGCTCCCAGAAATTCTCCTGATCATGGAGCGGAAGTCCAGAAACAGAAATCTGATTGCCTCTATGAGCAATACAGACTGCGCCTCTTAACATTTGACATGTTTCAGAGTTTATCATCTACAGCAGTAAAGACCCCAAGACCCCAAATTACATTGCAGTGGTCAAAGACGACCATGCATCGCGGCTCCTTGCTGATGGGGGAGAGTGAAGGATCCACCTCGGGGGCCACCGTCACAGGTTCCAGCTGGTCCCAGAAAGAATACTTGCAGAAGACGAAATTGGAGAGATGCTGAGGCAAGCCGGTAGCCTGAAGGATTTTGATCTGGAAAGAAGGAAGCACAGAAGGTTCTAACTCTTATTCATTCATTGATTCATTGATTCATTCATTCATTCATTCATTCATTCATTCATTCATTCATTCATTCATTCATTGTATTTACATAACGCCCATTTAGTGGCAAGCCACTACTCTGGGCAATTTACAGAAGTCAGACACATACCTACAACATCAAGACCAAAAATATAAATAACAGTAAGAATAATAAAACCAAACATACATGAAGCATAACATAACAGAACATAACATGAGTCCCCTGACAGCGATAGATAGATAGATAGATAGATAGATAGATAGATAGATAGATAGATAGATAGATAGATAGACAGACAGACAGACAGACAGACAGACAGATAGACAGATAGATAGATAGATAGATAGATAGATAGATAGATAGATAGATAGATAGATAGATAGATAGATAGATAGATAGATAGATAGATAGATAGATAGATACATTACATTTGAAATCAGGCGGCAGTTACAAATACAGTGGTGCCTCGCATTATGATGTTAATTTGTTCCAGTGAAATCACTGTAGAATGAAAACGTCGTAATGCAAAAATAAAAAGCCAACTGAAATGCATTGAAACCCCTTCAATGCGTTCCACTGGGTTGGAAACTCACCGTCCAGCGAAGATCTTCCACAGGGTGGCCATTTTCGGTGACTGTCTTGCGAGGAATCCATCCCAAAAACTGTGGGGAGCCATTTTATTTACCTGGCGGCCATTATGAAACCGCCAATCAGCTGTAGAAAAATTGTCATTTTGCGAAGAATCGGTTCCCGAAGCAGGAAACCGATCATCGCAAAGCGAAAAAACCCTATTCAGACCATCATTTTGCAATCGCGATTGCGATCGCAAAAAGATCGTCATAATGCGGTTTCATTGTAATGCGGGGAAATCGTAAAGCAAGGCACCACTGTAACAGTCTCACAGTCTCAACAGACTATTCAAGGGGAGTATTTCGGAAAGTCTTGTAGAATAAGAAAGCTTTAAGAGATTTCATCAAAAGTTGCAAGGGAAGGGGCCAGGCGAATTTCGGAGGGTGGCTCATTCCAACATTGAAGAGCCAGTCCCAATAAGGCCCAGCTTGCTGTTTTCTCCTTCCGAGCTTTCCCTCAAGGTCCCCAGCTGACCAGCAGATGAACAAAGGAACAGAAATGTTATGTAGCAACTCTTAAAAATAGGGGTCAGAATCTAACCCATCATCCGGAGAAGGCAGACTCCCAGAATCAACTTAAACTCTGCATTCAGCGGCATGAATCAGCCCGCTCAAAAGCTGGCGTTTTTAAAATTAAATTTGCCTTGAAGTATCCCAGACACTAAAGGGTGGTCTGAGCATCTCCACAAGAGGTCAGCATATGACCAGCCTTGAGGAGCACCAATGAATATTGATTCAAGGAGAAAATCTTAAAACACCATTTCCTTGTTTCTCCAATATAAAATTATTGCTCCAAAAGAACTGAAGACAATGGGCAGGTTTATCCATAGAATAAGGAGGTTGGAAGGGGTCTCAAAGGCCATCGGGTCCAACCCCCTGCTCGAGGCAGGAATAAAAATCACAGGAGATCTGCAAGGTGGTTGTCTACGTTTCTCTTGAAGGCCTCCAGGGTTGGAGCCCTCACCAGCTCCCAAGGTAATTGTTTCCATTATCATACTGCTCTAACAGTTAGGAAGTTTTTCCTGATATTCAACCGAAATCTGGCTTCCTGTAACGTGAATCCATTGTTGTGTGCCCTGCACTCTGGGATGATTGAGAACAGATCTTGCCCCTCCTCTGGAGGACAGCCTTACAGATATTTGAAAAGTGCTATATTATAACCCCTCAGCCTTTTCTCAAGGCTAAACCTGCTCAATTCTTTCAGCCTTTCCTCATAAGGCTTGGTTTCCAGCCCCCTGATCCTCCTTGTCGCCCTCTTCTGAACTTGTTCCAATTTGTTAGCATCCTTCTTGAAGTGTGATGTCCAGAACTGGACACCAAACTCAAGGTCAGGCCTAACAAGTGCTGAATAGAGAGGGACTAGCACCTCATGGGATTTGGAAACTATACTTCTATTAATGGAGCCTAAAATAGCATTTGCCTTTTTTGTAGCCACATCACACTGTTGGCTTATCTTTAGCTTGTGATCTATGACAGTTCCAAGATCCTTCTCACTTGTAATTTTGCTGAGCCAGGTATCCCCCATCTTGTAACTGTGCAATTGGTTTCTTTTTCTGAGGTGTAGTACTTTGCACTTATCCCTGCAGATTTCTGGGTACTATTCAGTACCCTCAGCATTTGCTGGTTTACTGACAAAAAATATGGTAGCCAAAACACTGTAAAGAAGACACATAGTAGTGTAAAACTAAATTCATAGTTCTGTGTACCAGAGCTCTCCTATTGTTATCTGCAACCACATTTGACCATAGATTTGGTCCTTGTTTTCCTTTTCTCTCTAAAATATCCAGTACTTGTTCGTGTTGGGGTGTTCAATCATTGCTCCCTTAGGGTTTGCCAACTTTTGCATTTAATATCAGCTCTGACTCCCACAGGGTCTGAAACTAAAACCGCTCCCTTAAATGTCTCTGCACCCTGAGGTGGCTTTTACCACACCCTCCATTGACTGTTTCTTACTGAGATGGCAAAATAATCCAGTTCAGCCAGTGAACATGCAGTACTTTGCACTCATCCCTGCTGAATTTCATGTGACTGTTCAGAATGGGACCAGAGTCTGGGAAAGTTTTTTTGGGGGGGGGGACTGCATCGCTCAGCCTGGAATTTATGGGAGCAGTGATTCAAAAATCCAACTTTTTCAAGCTCTGAAGTAGACCTCTTGTCATTCACAGTGCAATGCTTCTGGAAGTGAAAGACTGGCTGGCTGCGTGCCATTCCCTGGGGGGGAAGGAAGGAAGGAACTGATGATGGAGAAGGAAGGATGGAAGGAATGAGCTGATGATGGAGAAGGAAGGAAGGATTAAAGAATGACAGGGAGAAGGAAGGAAGGAAGGAAGGAAGGAAGGAAGGAAGGAAGGAAGGAAGGAAGATGAAACAGAGCATTCAGTCCTCTGGACATTCAAGAGCCGTGTAATGTCCAGAACTGTCCTGCTCATAAAAGCAGCACATGGGCATCCAAATGAGCATTCACACAACTGAATTCTTTCTTCTTTCTCTTTGTCATCTTCAGTATTCTGACCCTTGAGGTGGCAGCTCAAACAGTAATGCTGTGTTGTATCCAAACCATGCATTACAGTTTTCAGCCTGTCAGTTCTTTTCCTTTCGACGCTCTTCTCACTTCTTTTGAATTCAGTGTAATCATCACCACGGCAGTCTTGAGGGACTGGCTTGTTCCTTGTAGCCCCAAAGAAAATAGGGCTGATTAATCAGCCTACTCTCCCCCAACCTGGTGCCCACTGGATGAGCCGGACTGTTGTTCTTCTGAGTTGTCCCGTCACTTCTGACTTATGGCAACCCTAAGATGATGCAATTTGTGAATTTTCCTCTCCTCTCATGAATGCATTGGAACTAAGCACTCCACTAAATCCTGTAACTGTTCTTCTCCCCCCCACCTTTTATTTCCACCCTAATGCAAGCTACAGTGGAGGCTACGTCTGAGAAAAAAGTTAAGATGCTTACTTGACTAATTGGTGAGCCGTTTGCTAATAAAAGTACCTCGTTTGGGAGAGGATGTGCTAGCAGCAAACACAGGCAAGGCGACTGTCAGATCATAGCCAGCTTGAGGCTAGAAAGGAGAAGTTGCCACCAATTTCTGAACTGCTGGATAGCTCAGCAGTTTAGGTACACGGCCGAGGAACGAGAGGTTGTGAGTTCGAATCCCCCCACTGGGCTTCCTTGATAGGGGCTGGGGAGTTCAAATCCCCCCACTAGGCTTCCTTGATAGGGCTGGACTTGATGGAGTCTCTTCCAGCTCTGCAGTTCCAAGATAGTCTCTTACAGCTCTGCAGTTCCAAGATGATGATGATGATGATGAATTCCTCATCCCTGTCTTGGGGCACAGCCTATCTGTCTTATCCAGGCCACAAAACCTCAATGTTCTAAGCCAAGGTGGACCACTTGCAGCCTTCAAAATGTGGTTGGACTGCAAATCCCATCATCCTTCACCACCAGCTACCCCAGCTAAGCCTGAGGGCCATTACAGAACCACCACATTTAGAAGGCAAGAGGTTGTCCATCCTTGAATTGCAGCCCTGACTGGGAAATAAGCAAACAGAAGCTCTATGACTGTCTTGAAGAGTGGTCGCCCACTGTGGGTCCCCCAGATGTTCTTGGACTACAAGTCCCAGAATCCCTCACCATTTAGCTGTGCTGGCCAAGAATTCTGGGAATTGTTGTCCAGGAACCTCTGGGGACCCCAGGTTGGGAGCCACTGGTCTAAAATGCTGAACAAGAACTTGACAAAAGGAAGGATCTCCCTTTTTCTCCGAAGAGTTGAGTTTACTCCTAACAGCCACTGGGGCTTCAAAATGACATTCTGCATTACAGCAGCCTCCTCCAGAAAAGTTTGAGGCGGGAGGAGGTCTATCTTTTAACAAGACTGGGAGTGAAGGTGACCTGGAGCAGCTTTTCCTTAGTTAGCCAGATCCTTTAAATGTTCTTTCTCTTTGGACTCCTGTTCTGAGTTACCGTATTTTTCCATGTATAAGACGTCCCCACTTTTCTAATCCAAAATTAAGAAAAATAAGTGGGGCTTAGCAAGTGTAGGGGGAAAGGGATCAAAGCCCTGCAGGACCGCTTTGATCCCTGCTTTCCCCTCCACTTGCTTTTGTTCTCTCCTCAGCTTACTTCCATGTATAAGACGACCCTAGATTTTTAGTCTAAAGTTTTTAGACAAAAGTATAGTCTTATACACAGAAAAATATGGTAATTTGGTTTTGGTCTCCTGTTCCTCAGAGCACTCACCAGGCACACCAGCTTGTTCTCCTGGACATCATTCTCGGGGGAGCCCTCCGGGCTGTCGTCCCCTCCTGCAATTCGCTCCCCGATCTCTCCGCTCACACGCACCACTTCCACGTGGAGACGGCCGGCCACCTAACAGGGAAAAGAAAACCCACAAAAGGAGATTCTTAAGAAAAGTCCCAGCAACGAAGGTGCCCGTCCTCTAATAGACCTTTATGTCTACAGCCATGAGTTCTGGGCATGAGCGCCGTTCTGGAGGTTTAGGAGGGATTGAGTCTCAGCTGAGAGTGATTTGTGGCCTGAATCTGAGCAGATGAATAAATCTGGACAATTAAGCTAGCAATTAACTTCCCAGGGATAATCAAAATGCATATAACTATTTTCTGTTCATAGCAGTGTATGGTAGGCCCCCCCGGATTGGTTCTAAACCTTCTCCCCACCGTAGGTGCTAAACAATGCGGAATGCTATTTTAATATATCATGGTCTCTGGCTCCCTCTAGCGGCCAATTCTGGTAACTTCATCATTTTGTTTCTCTCTCTCTCTCTGTGTGTGTGTGTGTGTGGATATACATATACATATATACACACATATATGTACATACATACACAAATATACACAGTATATACAATATACACAGTATATTGAGATTTCTATTTTAATATTTTCAGACAGTAGGTAATTATGAGGCCATGGATGGGGTTTCGCCACAAGCCGTTTAGAGGAATCACCTCTCCTTTCTGATTGATAATGGGCACAGCGTACTGCAGCTTCACATCGTAAAAAAGGCACTCCAGGAAGACATTGGCCACCCCAATGAGGCTGTGGTTCTCTTGTTCGTCGTAAAAGGGATCGGCACGCCGGAAGTAAGACCTCATGACCTTGAGTTGTACAGAAAGAAAGAAAAAAGCAAGAAAAATCAATGAAGGGTCATGAAAGCCAACCCACTGATGAAGCAAGAAAATGACATTTAATGAATCTCCGATATACAGCCTTCTTACCTGGTTAAGAGGTTCTAGTTAAGGAGAGACCACTAGAGATGGGCACAAACCGCCGATTCGGTGGTTCGTTTAGCGTCCGAACAGGTGTTTGGTGCTTCAAAGCTCCACCTCCTCCTGGCGGCACCCACTCAGAGGCAGTTCCCTGGTTTCCATGCCCCACCTCCTCTGTGCACTCCCTCTCAGTGGGCACCCACTGGAGGACGCGGGGCTTTGAAGTGCCGAAGACTTGTTCGGATGCTAAACGAACCATCGAATCAGCGGTTCGTGCCCATCTCTAGAGACCACCACCTCTCGCGGCAATCGCTTCTACTACTGAACACCTTTTTATGTCAGATAGTTCTTTGAAAAGCCTTCATTCTTTTAACTTAGTCCCTCTGGAGCTGCAAAAATTAAGCTTGCTCCACCTTTCTCTATCTCTGCAGAGGGCTAGCCTATCACCCCGTAAGTTTTTTCCAGGCTAAACCTTTCCTTCGGCTGTTCTTCATAAGGATCACCTTCCAGACCCTTCGCCATTTGTGCAGAATACACCAGCTTCGGCACTGTACACTTTAAAACATCCTCTCATGTTATTATTTTTTTTTTAAATAAAGAAATAAGTACACCGGTTCTAATCATGTAAAAGCAACCGTTCTTCACATTTCCAGTTGTGTGTAAGCCTCCTTAGGGTCATGCCATTTGCAAAAGTTGGGAACACAAGAGGCTTGTAAAGCAAACATGCACACACAAACGAGGGATCACAGCCTGGTTACAGAGCACACATAGCGTGCCGCTATTGTGGTATACACCCACATCCCTTTGGAAAAGTTACTTTTTGTGTTTCGGTTTCCTAGGCCAAACCTTCTCCTTTAAGCTCAACCTTCATTTAATATAATCATCGTCCTTGTGCTGCCATGTCAATTCCAAGTTCTGGTAACCCTTTTCCAGGCAGAGAATTCAGCCGTGGTTTGTCATTCCCTTCTTCTGGGGTTGCCCTGGGACTAGCGTGCAACTTGCCCAAGGCCACCCAGGCTGACCTTACTCCCAGGAGGCCAAAACCAAGGGATCAAACTCCCAACCTCTGGCTCTGCAGCCAGAGAGCTAAACCACGGAGCTCCTAGAAGCCAGAAACAGGAACTATCCTCCTTTGGAATACAGCTACAGTGGTGCCTTGCATAGCGAGGTTAATCCATTCCGGATTAACCCTCGCTGTGTGAAAACATCGCTGAACGGGGCAGAAAAGCCCATTGGAACGCATTAAACTTCGTTTAATGCATTCCAAAAGGCTCCTTTACTCACCGTTCAGCGATCTTCCTCTATGGCCGGCAGCCATTTTCGCGCTCTCCCCTCGCTTAACGAGGGTGTGAAAACGCTGCGTGCGGCCATTTGGGGGCTTCCGGTGGCCATTTTGTAGCTGCCGAACATCTGATCGGCGGGTCGCAAAGTGAAGGTCGGTAAGCGAACCGCTTACCGACCTTCGCTCTGCGATTTTCGCCCTATGCAGGCACCGTTTTGCGATCGCATTTGCAATCGTAGAGCGAATTCATCGCTCTACGAGGCACCTGTTGTGCGAGGCACCACTGTACTTGAATAACAAAACCAGCGTCATTCTGGGGGTGGCCATCGAAAGAAGGAACTTTTTTGCCCATCCTCCCAGGAAGCTTCTCTCCCGTGTTGTGCGTCGGTGGAAACGGTTCCTCTGTGAATTAAGGACAGCAGCTCTGCGGACATTCCCCTCTCCACTGACCTGGTTATCTTCCTCGCAGTCTTTCCATTCTTGATAGAGGTCTCTCATGTCCACCAGCCGGTTCTCCAGCTTCTCCAAGGACCAGATCTGTTTCCCTTTCCCTTTCCGCCTCACCTGGATCGCCGGCTCGCTGAGCACAGCCCCTCGCTGCCAAAAGGACGAGAAGGAAGACACGCAACCTCATCAACAAGGGCGACAACGAAAAGGATCAAGATCACCCTGGGAATAGCCAAACATTTCCGTTCTGTGTTTTCTTCGAATCCAATCCATAGGGTAGTTTCTGATTGGCACCTGGGCAGGGGGGCATATAGCACTCCCACCTGTGTTGCTCTGACAGCCCTCCATTGAAATTTAGGGATCACGGGAAATCCTGGTGAACCAGAGCAGAGCTTCTGGGGGTGTCGGCAGGCGCTGGAGGCTTCCTTACGGAGGCCTGTTGCCACGTGGCAGTGCGCTGCAAGAGCAGAAGGACAACCCTGGCCGCAGATCCATAGAAGAGTGGCCGCCGCCAGCCACGTCCTTCTGGACAAACTCTGCGACTTCTTTTTCAAAAACAACCTCCGTCACCCACTAGGGAAGGCTTGATGACAAAAATGAAATCGTTACGCAAAATGGAAACGTCGTCGTCTAAAAGATTAAATTAAGGGGGGGGGAAGGCCAGCGAAATGGAGACCGAACCACTTCTGAGCAAATCTCTCCCTTCTACCTTTTACGTACTCCCCATCATGCCCACCTTACTCTGGCTTTTCCTCTTTTTTCCTCCCCCACTTCCCAAAACTTTCACAGGGTGTAGAAAGAAGAGAAGAAGCTGAGAAGCAGGAGAAGGGCTGCAGGTTGAGCTACTGCAGGAGGGTCCAAACCACCGCCCTGAAATACCTTATTATAAACCAGGAACCCTGAAACTCTTCTTTAAAACTATAAATGTGTCCATTCTTAGCCCAATGTACCCATTTCCTTCTTGTTTTAAAATGGTTATCTATCACATAGGTAAAGGTAAAGGTTCCCCTTGACAATTTTTGTCCAGTCGTGTTCAACTCTAGGGGGCGGTGCTCATCCCCGTTTCCAAGCCATAGAGCCAGCGTTTGTCCGAAGACAATCTTCTGAGGGCACATGGCCAGTGCGACTTAGACACGGAACGCTGTTACCTTCCCACCGAGGTGGTCCCCATTGATCTACTTGCATTTGCATGCTTTCGAACCGCTAGGTTGGCGGGAGCTGGGACAAGCGACGGGCGCTCACTCCGTTGCGTGGATTCGATCTTACGACTGCTTGGTCTTCTGACCCTGCAGCACAGGCTTCTGCGGTTTAGCCCACAGCGCCACCACGTCCCTCGTGGCCCTATCACATAGTGCTCACATATTGAAAAAGCCCAGAGACCTCACCCTGGCACACACAGAAGGGCTCCCTGCATTGCTTAGATGATTACCTTAAAGTAGCCCCGTATAAAGTATAAAGTATAAAGTAGCACTCAAGCATAAGCCGACCCGAATATAAGCCGAGGCACCCAATTTTACCACAAAAATCTGGGAAAACTTATTGACTCGAATATAAACCGAGGGTGGCAAATGCAGCAGCTACTGGTAAATTTCAAAAATAAAAATGGATACCAATAACATTACATTAATTGAGGCATCAGTAGGTTAAATGTTTTTGAAGATACTGCCCTTCTGAGCTGGGAGACACACTTCACTGCCTGCGGAGGGAGGACTCACACCGGATGCTGCGCTTATCTACTGCTCTACTGCTGTGTAACAAGATGGAGGGAGATGGAGGATGGAGGAGGAAGGTGGGAGGAGGATGGTGGGTATATAGAATATGCAGGAGGAGAGGATGGGAGTGTCCTGGAAGCGGAAATGCAATGTACTTAACCCGGGTCATCGGGCCACCCACAGAGGCTGCAGGCGCCCATAGATGAGCGGGGAAGTCCAGAGAACACATGCACTGCAGGGGAGAACATGTAATTTTGACACTGACTCGAGTATAAGCCGAGGAAGGGGTGGTTTTTCAGCAAAAAAATTGTGCTGAAAACCTAGGCTTATACTCGAGTATGTATGGTAAGTCATGGCTGGATGGCTACACCCCACAGCTGACAAATGGGGCCCAGGATCATGATGGCGGCATCTCACCTTTCTGTTGGCATTCAGGCTGGAGGCCGGGATCTGAAGGGTGACCTTGTACTCCGTCCTTTTGTCCATCTCTTCCGCAATGAAGCTGGCTTCTCTCATGTACAAGTTGGCCTTCATGATTTGCTCCCTCAGTTTCCTCAGGCTGTGGTTCAACATCTCTTCCCTGGAGATCAGGCAACGGGAATGTCGGTGAGAGGGTCCCAGAGACCGCATCGCAGCTACCAGACTTGCTAAGGGTGGCCCTTCGCTTGGGTGCAAACAGGCGGTGCGGGCTTTGCTGCAGCGTTGCAACGGACACTTATGTCACAGGGTCTTTTGGCGAGGGCTATGCTCAAGCCCGTATGGGAGCTGAATCGTCTAAGGGAGAGCTCAAAAGATGCTATTCATGGGACCCTGCGCTGGAGTCCGGAGGGACTTGGCATTGATTGGTGCCATACAGTTCCTAGTTTTCGAAGTGTTGGCCTGGTTCAGAGGTCATGGCCAAACAATGGCACTGCTGTCAGGAATGTGGGCTGACGTGCTCTCCTCGGTTTCCTCACCCACAATTACTGGGCAATTAAGTCACTACGCCTGAGCTGATACACAGTTATAACCTTTCCTCTGGAGCATTCCAACCTCTCCTTGCCTGTTATGCCAAACTATTAGAATACAGCGACTGCACGGCAAACCCAGATCAAGACTCATTCTCATGCCTGCCTCTGAAAAACGGGACACGGTTGGTGGAAAGAATGAGTACTCAAGCCGTGTCTTTTTTGGAACGGAAAAAGAGCCAAACAGCAAAACTGGGACCCCAGTTTTTAAAGAGTGGCCGGCCGATGGACAGACACACAAGACAGGAGGTTGCCAGAGTTTTTAATCATATGCTAAGGTCCAATCAAGAAAAATAATCTGCAGGAAGGAAGAGGGGACCTACGCGTCCAGGAGCCCAATTCCTACCGAATTCTAACAGGACACAAGTGAGAAATGCTTTGTGTATCCCCTGCAAATACTAGAGACAGGAAGGAACACAGCAGAGGTCTTGGGACTCTTATTTTTTTCCCCCTAAGAGAAAATTATTTCTCCTTTTGCTCTGAAGTGGGAAAATCAATGATTCTGCTCTGGGAAACTGCGATAGAAGTCGTGGTCCTCATCCCACAACAGATGTCCTTGCAATATGAACTCACCCTCGCCTCCCTATTTCCAGATGTTTCATTAGTCCAGTAGCTCCTCATCGCTCCATAAAAGATGGCAAAACATGTCCTCTCATCTCACCTCACCCCTGGGCATGGCACAAAGATGCAAAGGCACAGGGTCTCTGATTTTACTCTCTATCCGCTAATGGTTCTCCAGAGGCTCAGGTCTTTCCATTTTCCACACCCTTGCTCCTCCTAAAACAAGGGATGGAATCCTATAGTTGCCCTGCAGTGTGCTCTAGAATCAGGGTGCAAAGGCGCTTACCTGTTGTCACTAAGCGAGAAAGCCTTCATTTCTGGAAAGCCAAGTTCTGGGTTGGGCAATGCGTTTGCAGGATCAAGATCAGCCCCCTGAGCAGGTTTCTGAGCCCCTGATTCTGCATTTCAAAGACCACACTCCTCCTCTTCTAACCACGAGGCATGGCCACTAATTTGGCTTTAAATGGGGGTTTTGTGTGTGTGTGTGTGATACGGACATCTCCTCTCCTACTGACATAGACCACGTTGGTCCCTGTTTTTTTTTTTCTTTTCTGGGGCAACAGGAGAGCTTGTAGATGGATCTGCCAGGATCCCAGCCAAGCCTTGGTCTACACAGAGATCGAGGTCTAGAACTGCAGAGCTGAAAGGGCTAGGGATCATCAAGTCAGGGAGACTTCACTGGGGAATTGAACTCACAACCTTTGGCTCTGTAGCCAGAGGCCTGAACCACTGAGTGATCCAGACAAAAGACTGTAAAATGCTACCTTGACACCTTTGCTTTCCATGGACTCTATGACCTCCCTTTTGTAAGGAAGAACCACAGCCGTTTTATCTAGCCAGGTCTTCTACGTTTTGTTTTGTTTCTTTCCCTCTTGTTGTCGTTGTGTGCTCTCCGGTCACCTTTAAGTTAAGGCGACCCCCGTGAATGAGTGACCTCTAAAATGTCCAATCGTTAACAGCCCTGCTCAGCTCCTGAAAACTGAAGCTTGTGGTTTCCCTTATAGAGTCAATCCATCTCCTATTGGTGCTTCCTCTTTTCCTACTGCTTTCCATTTTTACCCCCATTATTGTCTTTCCAGTGGGTTCTGCCTTCTTATCACGTACGTCCTTCCTTACCCACAAATTTTACATTTCACAAATTTTACACCTCAAGGAGAACACTAGGGAATCCCAAAGCTTGCCTTGCTTATAGCTTTTGAGTGATTCAATAAAGGTATTAAAACCAACCGAGAATTTCGGATTCTCAGAACTTGGGGATCTGGAGTTCTCCATTTAGATCGAACAGCTTTAGGCAATGACAGAGCTGCTTTAAGTCGAAGAAGAGAAAGACCCGCCATCTGGAGAACGGCCGAGCCATCCTCCCACCCACCTCTCCTCCGTCCACTGCCGTAGCCGCTGCTGAGCGTTGGGAGAGTGGAAGGAGAACCTCTCCATGGCACGGAACTGCTGCTTTTCCGGAGACAAGCGCCTTCGAAGCTGTTCCAGCTCGTGTTCATACATAAGTCTCTGCCGTTCCAGGGCTGATCGCTTCTCCTCCTCGTGCTGCTGCTCCAGACTTTGCAAAATGGACTGCATAGGATCTAGGCAGAACCAGAGACAAACGTGATGCTGGCAGGTAAGCCTACAGAATTTGAATTGTGGTGCTGGAGGAGGCTCTTGAGGGTCCCCTGGAGTGCAAGGAGAACAAACCTATCCATTCTGAAGGAAATCAACTCTGAGTGCTCACTAGAAGGACAGATCCTGAAGCTGAGGCTCCAGTACTTTGGCCATCTCATGAGAAGAGAAGACTCCCTGGAAAAGACCCTGATGTTGGGAAAGAGTGAAGGCAGGAGGAGAAGGGGATGACAGAGGACAAGATGGTTGGACAGTGTCATCGAAGCGACCAACATGAATTTGACCCAACTCCGGGAGGCTGTGGAAGACAGAAGGGCCTGGCATGCTCTGGGCCATGGAGTCACGAAGAATCGGACACGACTTAACGACTAAACAACAAAAGCCTACAGAAACAAAAGCTCTAACAGAGGCGTAAGGTCTATGAGGCAAGATGCTGGATCCCTGGAGAAATCGTAATGGGAAAGACAAAGGCTCCAGATGTCAAAAGCACTGTAGAAATTAGAACTATTTATTTTTCTCATCTAGCAGTATAGGATCATCTACTCTGTCCAATTCTGGACACCACACTTTAAGACGGATGCTGACCAATTTGAACACGTTTAGAGGGGGCACAACAAGGGTGATGAGAGGACTGGAAACCAAGCCTTGTGAGGAAAGACTGAAAGAACTGGGCATGTTTAGCCTTGAGAAAAGAAGACTTGAGGGGAGAGAGGACAGCATTTTTCAAACACTTGAAAGGTAGTCAGAGGAGGGGCAGGATTTGTTCTCGATCATCCTAGAGATGTGGGATAGTCCCAAAAAGTCACCTCCAGGCTGTGATCTGAACAGAACAGAGCATGCCAGCCCTTTAAGGAGGATTTCCCTAGAGAAATTTTTTTGGAAATCCCAACATTCTCAGCCTCTTTCTTAGAAATTTTCTTTTTTTAAATATATATATACAATTGTATTTTTTTTTACTTTTCTATCCGTTGCAACCAGAGTGATTTATTACACGTTCCATTCATTTATTCTTATCTTATACTCTCTAACAGAGTATTAATCTAATCTATTTTACTTAAGTTGATGTAGATTTCCTCCAGATATAAAGAGGTTCCCATTTATTACTACCCAGTCTGTCATTTAGTGTATCTGTCAAAATAGCCATTTCTGCTTGTTCCAAATTCTTCTCAATAAATTCCTTCTTGGTCGACACCTTTGTTGCCTTCCACTTACTGGCATAGACAATTCTAGCTGCCATTATCAGGTGTGAAGTCAGGTAGGTCTTGTTGGTTTTTTTCAGGTTTAGCTGGTAATATATTCAGTAAGATTTCTGGTGTCAAAGCAATTTTAACCCCTAAAATTTTCTCTATCATTTCATGAATCCTTTTCCAAAGGTCCTTGGCCCTACAGCACATCCACCATGTAGGACAGAAGCTCCTTACTTTCTTTTCACATTTCCAATACTTATTAGAAACATTTTTATACATCTTTGTCAATTTCTCTGGTGTTACATACCATCTGTAAAACATTTTGTGTGTATATATATTTCTTTTAGATTTATAGATCTAGTCTATATAGACTAAATCCTTATAAACTTTCTGAGGATCTCAAGCCACGCACAGCTTCCCTTCAATCCCTCCCTACAGGCACTCTCAAAAAAAACACCACCACCCCACCCCAAAGAAAGCATGGTTTGCTCCTCACCGTTACCGCCCAGGGCTTTCATGGTGACTTCCATCTGGGCGTATTCGTAGTTGAAATTGATCTCGCTGGAAACTTCGCTAGAGCTGTCGCCGTCTAGATCCAGCTGCTCGTTGCTGCTGCTTCCTTTCATGGCGCCGTCTTTATCTTCCTCCTCCGTTTCTGCCTTCTTTTTCTTCTTGGGCAAATTCAGCCTTGAAGGGGGCGAGGGGGAGAAAAACACGTGAACACATGGCATGATATAGACCGTTAACCTGAGTTCGTCTTTATCTTCCTCCTCCGTTTCTGCCTTCTTTTTCTTCTTGGGCAAATTCAGCCTTGAAGGAGGCGAGGGGGAGGGGGAGAAAAACACGTGGCATGATATAGACCGTTAACCTGAGTTCGGGAATTCTCTCCGAGGGCCGTTGAACAGGTCTGCGCCGGAGAACATCCAAGTAGATTGTGCCCCCCCCTTAGAAGGAGGACTGGTGCTTATCATTTTCCAACACAGACTTTTCTGGGTGGGCTGTATTTCACTTACAGATAAGGCGAGGGGGAGGGGGAGAAAAACACGTGGCATGATATAGACCGTTAACCTGAGTTCGGGAATTCTCTCCGAGGGCCGTTGAACAGGTCTGCGCCGGAGAACATCCAAGTAGATTGTGCCCCCCCCTTAGAAGGAGGACTGGTGCTTATCATTTTCCAACACAGACTTTTCTGGGTGGGCTGTATTTCACTTACAGATAAGAAAGAGCACTGAAGATTATATATACATATATATGAGCGGATACAATCTAGGCTGTGGAAGCAGAGGAGTCTCGAGTTCACTTGGAGCAGAGACGGGCCAGAATCCTACTAGTATTTTACTGTGGACTATGTGAAATTCCCTAAGTCACGGCAGCAAATTGCAGGTCATGAACAAGGTACTTGCTTGTGCCACTCATTGGACTGGTACTTTTTTTGATTAGTTATGCTTCCCTGTCACAATGTGTGCCCTTCCACTTAATCCTGCAGTAAAATACAGATAGGATTCTGGCATAAGGAGCTTCTAAAACGGAGAGTTAGCTGCCTTGAGTCCTTTTAAGGAGACAAGCGGGTAAAAATAGTTGGAATGAATGAATGAATGAATGAATGAATGAATGAATGAGTGAGTGAGTGAATGAATGAATGAATGAAGTTAAGGCACCACCACGTTTTCGTCGTCTTTATTTTTTTTATTTTTCTTTCCTTTACACCTGATAGCACACAGATTTAAACCCAGCTACCTCTTCTAAAACTTCTAAAAGCAGGATGTTTCGTTCTCTCCCGCATGCTGGTCATCCTACGCTGCTCCTCTGAAAATTTGCCATTTGATCATCTCAGTAACCAAAACGAACAACAATCTAAACCTCAAATTATGGGGAGCAGGAGAAGGAAGGAACTTTGACAAGCCCCCAAGCTCAACCCTCAACCCTCCCCATTTAAGGAGACGGTGGTTCTTCTGTGCCTTTTTCTTTTAAGTAACCGCAGTAAGGGGGCTGCTGCTTCAAAAGCTCATAGAGGCAAACCTCTTCTTTCCTCCCAATCCGCCCACTTAGAAGGAATGTTGCACTGGGTCCATGAAGGACAGCCTACTTTTTTAAAAAAGTGTGTGTGGGGAGGAACAGCCGGGGATGGGAGAAAGAAAAATTGCAAACCGGGTGGTTTACCAGAAAGGACATGGAAGGATAGGCATGGAATCATTACGAGAAAATAAAATTTTAAAAAGCACCCGTGACAATATGCAAGGGAACACACGTAAAGGAGTCATATATATACTGGACTGCAGCCCCTGCGGCCAACGGAACCCCACAGAAGGGGACTCTACTCTGGCCACCTTTGAGGGCCCCCGGGCTCCCTCGGGTTGCAAAAGGCACTCAGGCGGTGCGTCTCAACTCCACGCGCACGGCGAGACAAAGCCGAACGAACGGAAGACGCGGCCACCTACCTGAAGAAATGGTTGTTCCCCCACAGGATCCTATCTCCGTGAAGCAGCTGCGTGGGACCAGTGACAGCAGCGCCGTTTACGAAGGTCCTTGGATGGGGGAAGAGGAAGAAAAACAACACCGCCATCATCATTCCTTCCTTGCGGTTTCCACAGAGCCTCAGCCCCACAATGCTCTTTTATTTTTTAAAGGAGGGAGAAAGCCTCCAAGGGTAAGGGGTTGGGGGGGGGAACAGTGACCGGATTCATGGGGGTGTCCCTCCTCCTTCCTTTGGGCCTTGCGAGTCCCAGCAGAGCTCAAGAAATGTGGGGCGGATAAATGCCTGTCACTGAATTATTTCCTCCTTCCTATCCCTTGCGCTGCATCGCGGTATCTTAGGAAGCACCCGTCTTTTTCCTTAAAACCCTTCTTTGCCCGCCGAGAGGGAGATCTGCAATTCTGGAGTCACCTTGGAGCCCTTCCCTCAACCCCACTGGCCCTTCCCGGTCTCTCTGGTGGATCCTTTTTGCCCCCTACAAACCACCCCCTCGCAGGAATCAGACAGCAAGGGCTTTGGACCGGATTCAAGGCACTGCTTTGCGCCCTGCCTCTGGCATTTTGCTTACCGTTGGTGGAGAATTAAAAATCAGCCTGAGAGATATTCTTTGTCCCAGAATGTCGAAAGAGAGAGAGAGCCAGCTTTCCAGAAAGTCTGTCTCTCTTTCTCTCCCTACCCCCCACCCCGAGTATGTAAAAATGTTCTGCGCCAAGAAAACCCACAGCTCAAGCCATGTTTGCCTCCATTTAAATTCTAAACATGAGTCTATTCTGCGGGGAAAGGAGGAGGACGATGACAAAAGGAAACAGGAGAAACACGGGCGCCCTTTGATTTTCTGTTTTGGAATGGCTTCCCTGCTCTATCTACCCCCATGCACATGAAAGTAAAAGTGGAGGGGGGTTGGAAGTGCACTTTTACAAAAGACAACACACTTAAGTTACCTGGTATTCTTGTGAGGCGTCAGCATGACTTGCCCGTCTGAGGTGATATCAATGACGCAGTGTTCAGGGAGAATGCCCATGCCACAAAGCTGGATATCTTGCGAGTTATCAGACCCAATTAAGGTGTGCTCCTGCAGAAAATACAAGACTGTGCATGTTAAAACTAATACAGATGAAGGAAACTCCGTACAATCAGTTACACAGTATATGTGGTTATAGAATACAACTCATCATGATACGTTCACACATCGATATAACCAGTACATCTATAGTGTAATAACAAGTCAACGTAGTAATAATAATACGTATCACAACTCAAACATATCCTCTCTCCGTCACAAGGTCCTGGTGAGAAACTCTAAAATATAATAACAAGGATGTGCATCGTTCTTGACAAGATAAGGACTCAATAAGCCCCGAGCCTATAGTCCGATCCACATTGCTCAGTTCGTGGTTTATCGCTTTTTTCAAGAGTCTATCCCTCAAGTGTCTCTGGAACTAAAAGTTACAACAAATTCTTATTTACAGAGGATTCAAGAGGGTGTGCATTAAAAGCAAATTCACGGGCTTGTGTTTTTAATACCACGTGAGGACCGAGCCCATTTATTTTAGACTCCGGCCAGGGATTGTTCTTCCAGACCTCAGCCAGAGGCCTCTGGACATTTGGCTTTTCTAGGTCCTTCTAACGGCAGATAAATTGAATTCAGGGCCCTCTGCTTGTTGTTACTTATAACAAACAGAGCGCTCGCATTTGTTTTAAATACAGGGGACAAAACAAAACACTCTGACAATACTTGGAACTGTTCCCTTCTTCGACCGCGACTTCCAGAATTCCACAGCCAGCACTGCCATGACGGGTGGGATATTTTGAGAGCGGCCGTCCCCCAAAAGTTATTTTTCTCGAGGGCTGGTTCCTTGTAAAGGAGAGGCCAGCTGAAATGTGCAATTCCTGGTCTTGACAGTATTTGCCGAGAGCCTAGTAATAACATGTTTTTACAGATGTGGTTAAGCATAAGTAACTCTAGAAGAACTGTAAATGGTTTCTTCCAGACTATCCTGGGTTCCCCCTATTTAAAAAGAAAGATGTGGTTTGTTTCTATCTGAGAGAAGGCTGAAAATACATTTTTTTCTCCCCTATCTTGATTTACTCCCCCCTCACTTTTCCTGACCTCTAACAGGGCGCCAAGTGGTGGAAATCGGATCCTTCCATTGAGTGCATCAAGGTCACTCTTTGAATCCACGCTGTCGCCAAGGCATTCTGGCTGCGCCTGCATGCCCAGTAACAAAGACGCAGTTCCTGTGCCAGGAACGGGGGACTGACAAAGCAGTTTCTTTCATGTCCAACTCTAGACTGGTCCGTGCGGACCAGATAGGCGGGGTATAAATCAAATAAATAAATAAATAAATAAATAGACACTTACAGTGCCTGGGAATTCTTCGGATAATTAAAAAAGAGAGTGAGAGCTTCATTCATCTTTTTTGGCGGGGGGTTGCTATTTAGCAAGTGAGCGAGGAATTCTCCCACTCCACCTATTCACATTCTTCTGGATGTTACCCAGGTTCTTCTGACTTCCTGAAACAGGTGGCTCTTAAATGACTCTCACAGCTCCAGATGAATCTTAAGGACACCTTTCGAACCTATAAAATAGGGGGTGGTGTTTCTGGAGGGTCCAAGGGCTACTGACAGATCACCACAATTATCCAGAGCTCTACAAGATGTGCAGCTTTGTGGTGCAGCAACATGCTTGTGGTTGTTGTGCTTCTCATAATAAGAGAATGGATAGTACTTAGATACATGAAACATGGAGATGGACTGAATTGCGTCCCACGTGTCTGCCAACAGCCTTTAACCAATAACAGTGCAGCCTCCCACATAGAAATAAAGAGTGGAGGTGCATTCCCAGTTTGAGAAGTATAGGATGCACAACCTAGACATTTACACAAGTTCAAGCTAAACTTTATTTTTGCTGACAGATCCTTAGAGGTAGGGCAGTGAGCCGAATTTCCCTGAGTGTCTGATCGCCAGCTGGCTGGATCGCTGAGTGGTTTAGGTATCTGGCATTGAATGCAGGATAGGTGTTCAATTCGCCACTGTGCATCCTGTGAGAAGAGCCAGCCTGTGTGGTCTTGGGCAAGTTGCACAGTGTCCAAAAAAAGGAATGGTAGTGGTGGTGGGGAAGCAGAGTGTGCCCTTACATAGCACCCCATAGTGCTTAAAGCACTCTCTGGGCAGTTTAGAAGCTAATTATACGAGCTATGGTTTTTCCAGTAGTGATGTATGGAAGTGAGAGGTGGACCATAAAGAAAGCTGACCGCCAAAGAATTGATGCTTTTGAATTGTGGTGCTGGAGGAGACTCTTGAGAGTCCCCTGGACTGCAAAGAGAACAAACCTATCCATTCTAAAGGAAATCAACCCTGAGTGCTCCCTGGAAGGACAGATCCTGAAGCTGAGGTGCCAATACTTTGGCCATCTCATGAGAAGAGAAGGCTCCCTGGAAAAGACCCTGATGTTGGGAAAATGTGAGGGCAAGAGGAGAAGGGGACGACAGAGGATGAGATGGATGGACAGTGTCATCGAAGCGACCAACATGAATTTGACCCAACTCCGGGACGCAGTGGGAGGGCCTGGCGTGCTCTGGTCCATGGGGTCACAGAAGAGTCGGACACGACTTAACAACTAAACAACAGCAACACATTGCCTCCACCCCCAGCAAGCTTGGTACTCAGTGGAACTCAGTGGTAAACCACTTATGAGTATTCTCTACTTAGGAAACTCTGGAAGAGGTCATCATAAGCCAGAATTGTCTTGATGGCACGCAAAAATATAACCCCAATGAAACAAAGCCAAATAAGCAAAACAAACCATCAAAACAAAAAAGAAAAGAAAAGAAAAGAAACGGATCCCTGTGTTAGCATCTTGTTTTGAAATAGACTCATGTAGAGCACCAGGATTTTACCTTTAAGTAATAGACCAAAAGTTCATTGAGGGCAGGGTCGGCGTTCAAATTCACCAGGAAGCACTTGTTATCACCAACTTTGATCCCGGAAGACTGAAGAGAAATGCCAAGACTTTCGAGCTGCTTCTGCCGTTCCTGCGGAAAAAGGAAGAAGGAGGGACGTTTGATGCTGATGAGGCGCATGTTTCACACACATTTGTCTGTGTGAGAGATATGATGAAACAGGAATGGGCAAGACCCACAGACGCATTTTTCTGCCCCACAGCCCCAAATCGCTTTCGTTACTTGAAATCTGTTGGGAAAAAAAGAGAATTGCTCGTCTGGCAAGAACTGAGGGGCAGCCAAAGAAGCCCACAAGCCACATTTTCCCATCTCCATCGTCAAGACATTTAGCCGTGAAACCTTCGGCATCAAGTGGTCATTAAAGTATGAAACCAGAGGCCTGAAAACCTCCTGTGACCGTTAATCCAGCCCAGCCGGATATCTAGACGTTAGAGATCAGTGCATGTATCTGTAGTTTTAGACTACAATACCCATGTGGCTCAGGGAGTTCTGGGAGATGTAGTTCAAAATTACAGACACACAGACATCTACAGAGAAATGTCTTCTCTAAAAATAAACACTCAACAAACCCTCAGTGGGACGGACCCGAGTCAAGAAATCGCGCTTGTACTTGGGCTTCGGCTTTAAAATGTGACTTCTGAGGGCAAAATGTGTGGCCTCGGTGCCAATTATGGGACAGACAAATTGGTATGCTTAGATGCGAATTTACTCCACATTAGGCACCGTGTGGTCTCAGGAAAAGGGTCACTCCACATCAAAAGGGACTGCTGGTAAGCAGCGTGTGGTGAACAGTGCTGGAAAAGATACCTTTTTTGGATTATAGTTTCCAGAACACCCACGTTGGCTGAGCAGAATTCTGGAAGTTGTAGTTTTTTTAAAATATATATATTCTAGCTTTCTCTGCCTGTAGCATAAATCTACTTTTCTCTCTTTCTTCTTTCTCATGGTTGATCCTATTTCTCCTTACTGCCTGACCATGAGAAGAACTTGGGTAAAGATCTTGTTTTAAACTGCAACTCCCAGAATCCTTCGCCAGCATAAATATTCCAGCCCCTGGGTAGGCCCACCTTCATCTGTCTCTTCTTTCTCTCTGCTTATCTTATCCTTCCTTGTTGGCCAAGCGTCCCAGAGACAAGGAGGAAAAGAAACCATCAGCCACTGAGAAAAGATTAGAGAAGCAGAGAAACCAGGAGAAGATTTGATGTCCTTAAAGCAAAGTGTGCTGCTTATATACTGCGTATATACTGCCCCACAGTGCTTAAAGCAATCTCTGGGCGGTTTACACATTTCTCCCCCTCCCACCCTCCAACACACTGAGCACTCAGTTTACCAACCTTGGAAGGATGGAAGGCTGAGTGAACCTTAAGCCGGCTACCTGGGATAGAGCCTGCAGTTTAACCACTGCTCCATCTCTTAAGCAGTCAGAGAGGAGAACATTAACCCATTGTGACAGAATCACATCTTCTCAGCAGATCCACATTGAACGAGAGTAAATGGTGGGCCTTGGCAAGAGGCCGTGTGTGAAGATTATGGCATTGTGGTTTAAGACTGTGGAACTCCCTCCCACTGGAGGCCAGGCTGGCTCCATCTTTGTTGTACTTCCACAAGCAAGACTTGTCTTCAGGCAAGCCTTCCCTGAGTGAATGGCATCTGATTGGGTTTTTTTAAATGGATTGTTGTACCTTACTGTATTGAACATATTTTGGTGTTGTTTATGTTTTTTGATATTATATTCATTGATCCTTTTAGTCGTGTACACACACTGTTGTTAGCTTAAATACGGTCTCTTAATTATCATAAGCCACCTTGCGTCCTTTTTAAGGAAAAAGACGGGTTATAAATATTTCAATTAACTAATTAATTAATTTGTGTCAACTAGAGCCCAGTTTAGACACATCATACCGTGCACGGTTATTATTAACACACAAAGTGTTCTCAGTGACTATGTGCTTGAGTGAGCTTTTTTTGGATTACACTTTCCAATATCCTCCAGACAAAATCTTCACCGGCTATGCCGGCTTGGGTCCCTAGATTTTCTTGGATTAAAATTCCCAGAAACCTTCACTCCTTGCTGTGCTGGCCAGGATTTTTGGGAGTTACTAGTCCAAGAACATCTGAGGACTCAAGGTTGGGAACGACTGTTCTAGACATATCCTTCAGCCTAGGCAAGATTTTTTCTTAAGATCAGACTCTTATCCTTACTAAATGTGAACTTCATATGCCTGATAAAATGGGCAACAGTCCATCATCGTTTACCCGACAAAGATATCTTAGCCTTTAAAGTGTCACCAGTCCTTTGCATTTTTGCAACCACCACATTAACAATGGATCTTGGAAACAATCATCTGAAGAATTAAGGGGGAGGGCACTAATTTATAAGGGGCCAAAAATATACCTTCTTATTTGCAAACACCAAAAGCTCTCATTAAAGGACTACCCGGATGCTGGAAGACCTTCTGTTCCTGGCCCCTAGGCCCTTTAAATAAAAATACAGACCTGTGCAATTTCTTCCGTCTTCCTTAGCTTCTCTTCCCAGGTCACCGTCATCTCCTGGATAAGTTTTTCTGATTCTTCCAAGCGTTCTTTGAGTTCTGGAGATTTCATAGCCTAGAGACGGTGCGCAGGGAACGGGACACAGGAAAAAAAAGGCGAGTGAAAGGCTGAACACACCGTGGAAATGCAACCAGTTAGATCATGACGGGCTGCCAGTCCTCTTATCTTTTTGATCCCTGTTCCTGAAAACGAACCCCAGGAAGATGAGGGTGTGCTCAGGAAATCAACAAACCATGACGCATGAGACCAGGGAGCCCGCATGGAAATGATCTGCTCTCCTCCAGCTCAGCATTATCGTTATCTTTGATTATGACTGCAAAGACCACTTTGCAAGATCAATTTGCCCCAGGATTACAGTTATACGCACAGTAAATGCTAAGGCCTTCCTAATACTTAAAGCAAAGCAAAGGATGGTGGGAAGTGGATCTGCCCATCTTGCTTCTCTTTGTTAGAACAGAAGAACCCTGGTGGATCTGACCCACAATTCACCCATTCCAGCATTCTGTTTCCTAGAACACTTACTCAGCCACTCCCGAGAAGCTTCTCTCTAAGACCGAAAGAGGTTTTCTTACAGGTAGAGTTTGGCCATGTTACCGTATTTTTTCCATGTACAAATGATACTTTTCCTAAAATAGTTACTGCAAAAATTGTCTTATTTATTTATTTATTTATTTATTTATTTATTTATTTATTTATTTATTTATTTATTTATTTATTTATTCATTCATTCATTCATTCATTCATTCATTCATTCATTCATTTAATCATTCATTCATTCATTTAACTTATATGCCGCCCACTCTACCCAAAGGTCTCCTTTTCAGGAGATGGGTGATTATGGTGATCAGTGTGTTTTTGTTGTGGGTGTATTGTTGTGATAAGGAGGAGAGATTATCTGTCACTGTGATTGATGGGTGTCATTAGCTTTTTTGCGTAGTGATCACAAGGACCGGTGATCACTACACACAAAAGACCAGCTAACAACACCCATCTCCTGAAAAGGACAAAAGCTGATCCAATAGCTATAAATACTCATCTCCCAAACAAACTGCACCAGAGCACAGAGTTCTGACTCCTGTCCTCTGAAGATGCCGGCCACAGAGACTGGCCAAACATTAGGAAGAATTTTTTGCGTAGTGATCACAAGGACCGGTGATCACTACACACAAAAGACCAGCTAACAACACCCATCTCCTGAAAAGGACAAAAGCTGATCCAATAGCTATAAATACTCATCTCCCAAACAAACTGCACCAGAGCACAGAGTTCTGACTCCTGTCCTCTGAAGATGCCGGCCACAGAGACTGGCCAAACATTAGGAAGAATAGCCTTGAGAACACCGCCAAAGATCCCAAAAAACCCACAACAACCATTAGATCCCATCCGTGAAAGCCTTTGCGAATACATCAAAATCAGTTAGGTGACTGACTGATTCGGCTTGGCAGCCAAAGCAAACCTTAAAAACACAGGCGGGGCAAAAGATGATCCCCGTGCGATCTTGTCGAACTGTCATTCCCTTGAGCCCTTCCCAACATGGTCAAAGACGTGGAACACTGGGAGACCCAGCCCAACAACATCTGGAGCGTCTCTTGTCCTCAAAACACAAGACGATACCTCTGCTTTGGTGAGCTGTTCCTTGAGCTTCTCCACTTCTTCACGCAGTTCCCGGATGATACGGGCATTGGGATCTTCGTTCACCACAGCGTGGTTCACAATGTTCTTGGCCCGGTCAGCGTACCGCAGGGTAGAAAGGGTCTCGTCGTAATTATCTGCTGCTGGGCTGACCGTCGCAACCATGGCCGTCTTGCTGTTGCCCCCGAGGCTGTCCTAAAAAAGTGACATCGGGAAGTAAGGAATTGGAAAGTTCTGAATACTGGTGATGAAGCCAGTCCTTGCCTCTTGCTTCCTATTTGGCTACACGTGGTAAACAGCATAATGAGGGTAATACAGTAGCTACTTTCTTAATTTGTATACAGTGGTTATTCCTTTCCCTCCTTGGTACATTAAAAAAAAAGTCATGTTGAATCAGTCCATTTGGTTTTGTACCATTTCCCCCAACACCAGTGAGCCCAGAGACCTATCAGGTGACTCTTTATTGTTTTGTAACAGAGGAAATACATCTGCTTTCCTAGAAACTGCGCTGGGGAAAAATGCAACGGGGCACCCCTGGAGAAATCAGAGACTCTTAAGAGTCCCAAAATTTGCAACCTTCCGGGGTTCCTTGCCTGCAACTACAGAAGAGGCCTGTCTCCGGATGCTAAGAAATGATGTCTGTTCCCTTTGAAGTCTGATGTGTTTCAGAATGACACCATTCAAAGGCCTTCTTAAAGGATCTATAAAAGCATGTAAGAGTCAAAACATCAAGGCCACCGTAAGTCAAAAGCATGTCAACACTAGTTAAGAAATTTATGCTCCGATTTCTTGTTGAATGATGAGAAATCAAAGCTTTGACTGCAGCAGTTTTAGACTGTTTGACTAACATCAGAAACCTAAGTAAATAGGATTCTGGCCGCTGATATTTATACAAGCATCACAAAATATATACATTTTTAGTTCTTCGTCCATGGCCTTAGAGAGCCTGCACAAACATAAGTGAAAAGACGCAGGCTGCAGTCCTAAACACCCTTATGTAGCCTCTTAAACAAGGACTCTGTATAGTGACAAGCCGAAATACATCTGGCTTTCTCAAGGCAATTAAACACTGGCTCTCAGCATTGCAAGAAATGTCTATTCAGTACCAGGGGCCACAGCTAGAAAACTTTGGAAACAGGGTGTAAAGCCTTCTGCCTATCTCCTGAAATTCATTTCTGATAAAGAGATACACATAGAACAGGGTGATTATGTGTCCCACCGCTCAACTCCTACTTCAGTTTCAGCAGAGGAGAGATTCCTGTTTGCATGCAGGCCTCCGACACAAGCCCACCCCCCAAAAAAGAGCAAATCTGGGTTCTTGCTCATGTGCACAGCCTTCACACGAGCAGGCACATCTCCTCTTCAGAAACACAAAAGAGACGGATGGCGAAGGGGGTGTAAGGCCGTATGTTTCCCCCTCCTTGTGTTGATCAACTGGAATCCTCAAAAGCCTGGATGCAGCTCAAAGCGAGGGAGCCAGAAAGAGACGACAGCATAAACAAGGAGCATGCAAAAGGCAGAAAATATACACTTCAAGTGGCCTAGAAAATCTAGGTCATGTACCGCCACCAGGCATCATTAACATTGTTTTTTTAATCTGTGTTTTTGCAACTCCGCTAATTGTTGTGGTGGATCTCAGCTTCTCCTAACAACCCTCATTAAAAGCCAGGGTGTAGCAGCGGGAACGTCTCGTTTAGATGTGGCGAATCAAGCTCAGACGACGAGGGAAGAGCAAGATGACCCTAAAAGATACCTCTATTTTGAAAAGCCTTGATACGGATTAAATTGCTGACATCCACAACAGTTGTCATCTACCACACGGTAAGCATTTATCTAGCCGGTTGTAAAATGTTCAAGGTGTTTCAAGGAATTCTTCCGACAGCCAAGGAAAGTAAGGTGGGATTTTCCCTACATTACTGGGGCCACAGGAAACAGCGCTTGAAATATACATGCATAGACAATAAATGTTACTCTTTTTTGCTGATAAATCTCAAAGTATCCAACCACATACCCTTTTTTTCAGCTTTAAGACTTACCTGATTTTCTGCTGCTGCCAAACTGTACTGGGACCGGCAGCAGCATCAGTGTCGCTGCAGCAGAACACACAGATATCATCTTATCCCAGAGTGCCGGACACGTAACCATGGGCTCAAGCCAGATTTCGGATGAGTATCAGGAAAAACCTCTTAACTGTTAGAGCAGTACGATGATGGGACCCATGATCTAGGAAGGTGGCGAGGGATCCAACACTGGAGTCCTTCAAGAGAAACTCAGAAAACCACCTGGCCAATATCCTTTGCTTTGGATTCCTGCCTTGAACAGGGGGTTGGACTGGATGGCCTTACAGGCCCCTTCCAACTCCATGATTCTACAATGCTTTTCTTTATCTTTTGGAAGGCAGGGAAACACTCAGCCTTGGTATACTGGTGGAGTCTATGATGCCCTGGCATCCTCCCGTTTCAGTCACTGCTGCCGATACTGAATTTGGGTCCAGGTTAAGGTGCTCACTTTCTTTACCTTTTGGAAGGCTGGGAAACACTCAGCCCTGGTATACTGGTGAAGTCTATGATGCCCTGGCATTGTCCAGTTTCAGTCACTGCTGCTGATGCTGAATTTGGGTCCAGGTTAAGGTGCTCACCCCTCCAAGAATCATTTGAAAAAATACTGGCCACAGGAGGACAGAAGGGGGCTTTTGCAAGAAATAAAGCCCCAATTTTTGTAAGAAAACTTAGTAGGATGGGTGGGGCATGGGGTCAGGGGCATCCCTACAAAGTTCAGGTATGGGCGCTTGCCGTCTTTCGACTGCTAGAAGTTATCCACCACTGTTCAAGACCTTTCCCTTCCTCCTGTTTTATTGGGCATCCTGGTATAGAACACTTCATGATGACGTTTCCAGGGAAATGAGGTTAGGCCAATTTTTCCCTGCAAGATAAGGTTGCCGCGATGGAGAACGCTCCAGTGAGAAGGTCTGCAATGCATCGAATGGCTTCACACTTCAATTCTTTTGATTGATTGATTAGGCATCCTTCAGTCTCGAGAGACTATGGTAACATGCTCTCAATGTAGGTCTTGGAACAGCGTCCAGTGTGGCTGAGAAGTCCAATTCGAGAATAACACAATCCCTTCCACACTGAAGACAAATACAGTCTGTCCCCTGTCCAGCTCCCTGATTTTGCTGGTTTCAGGATGGCCTCTTTGCCTCGGCCTGCTGGACAAGGGTCTCTTCAAATTGGGAGAGGCCGTGATGCAACGCCTGCCTGAGCGCTTAGATGTCAAGGTTTCCCATCTGTTGAGGTCCATTCCTAAGGCCTTCAAATCCCGCTTGCAGATATCCTTGTATTGCAGCTGTGGTCTCCCTCTGAGGCGATTTCCCTGCACTAATTCTCCATCCAGGAGATCTTTTGGAATCCGACCATCAGCCATTCTCACGACATGCCTGAGCCAACGTAGACGTCGCTGTTTCAGTAATGTATACATGCTAACAATTCCAGCTCGTTTTAGGACTACTCTATTTGGAACTTTGTCCTGCCAGGTGATGCCGAAAATGTATCAGAGGCAACGCATATGGAGCATGTTCAGCTTCCTCTCCTGCCATGCACGATGGGTCCAGGACTCCCTGCAGTTCAGCAGTGTGCTTAGGATACAGGCTCTATAAACCTGGATCTTTCAATTCTTTGATATTTTATATATAATTGTTTCAACACCAAGCTTAGTTTGGCGGCTTGGATGTGATTAAAATTAATTTTTAACACTAAAACAAATTAAAATAGAACAGTTGAATGCATCTAACTAAGAAGCTTCTTCCTGACCTTCCTCACCTCTCAGCCCTTAAACTTGCAGGATATATATATATAAAAAGACCCAGCTACACTTTCTTCCTAAAGTCTGGGGAGTTGTTCTTATCCTACAACATTTTCCACACTATGCTATGCTATAACGGGGTGCCAGTACATGAAACACCCTGATCAAACAACTGCTTCCTTTTTTGGGATGTGAGGGTCACAGAGAGTGTGGCAAGGATGACCAACACTATGATAATAGAGAAAGCTGTCCAAGATTTCACCATTAGATGGTGCCTAAGTAATTAGCATCCATGAAATACTTGAGGCAGGTACAGAACTGAATAACTGTGCAAGATGGCTAAGCTAGCCAACTATGTGCTGGCACCAAAATATTGGCAGAAAGTGGAACGAACAGCAGATTCCAATTTCTTTCCTTCTTCTCTGCCCCCAAACTATGCCACAGTACAAAGAAATAGCTCAACGATGTTTATTTGGATTTAAAACACAATGCCAGGCACCACCGGTTTCGTGTTTTGTGCATGTTTTTGAAGTACTTTCCCTGCTCCGTCATCGAACTTTTTAACCAAAAGCAAGGATAGATGTGTGTAAATGTTCCCCCGGCTCAGGAGAGACCGCTGTTCAGAGGTGTGGCTCAAACTCAAACTCACACGCCTTAGTCTACACATCTGGGTATCTTTCGTCTGAAGCACTCAGAAACACCCGCGCACACAGAGTCACACAACTAGTTTGGCCAGGCTGCGATCCTGAGGAGAAAGACAGAAAGGGAAGGCCAATTCATTCCCCACTGGTTATTTCCCAGCTGTTATTCCAAAACCACCCCTCACGAATGACAAGCTTCACTTAGGCAAAGGTAAAGGTTCCCCTTGACAATTTTTGTCCAGTCGTGTTTGACTCTAGGGGGTGGTGCTCATCCCCGTTTCCAAGCCATAGAGCCAGCGTTTGTCCGAAGACAATCTTCCATGGTCACATGGCCAGCACGACTTAGACATTACCTTCCCACCAAGGTGGTCCCTATTTATCTACTTGCATTTGCATGCTTTCGAACCGCTAGGTTGGCAGGAGCTGGGACAAATGACGGGAGCTCACTCCGTCGCATGGATTCGATCTTACGACTGCTCGGTCTTCTGACCCTGCAGCACAGGCTTCTGCGGTTTAGCCCACAGCGCCACCACGTCCCTAAGCTTCACTTACAAAGAGGGGAAAAGATGTCACTGCACCTTCCTTTCACCCCATGAGGAATGAAGTTTGGAGAGCAGGACTGGGAGGTGAAAAATAAGTTGAGGGAAAAGCATTGCCACCTTCTAAGCCCAAGCTACTACACATTAAGGAGAAGCACAGAGGCACAGAAGAAGGAAGTAAAATCAGAACATCGTGTGATGAGTATTGTCATAA